TTGTCTTTGTTGAGCTTGAGGCCTGATTTCCTGAATCTTAACAGAACAGCTCTTAGCCTTTCAGCTAGAATGTGTGTGGAGTCTCCTGCAATTAAGACATCATCAAAGTAGGGGCAAACCCCCGGTCTGCCCCGCAGTGTGTTTTCCATTACGCTTTGGAAAATCCCAGGAGCGACATTCACTCCAAACTGCAGCCTTTTTACCTTAAAGGCTCCCCTGTGGGTCACAATAGTCTGAGCTATAGCAGCAGCATCATCAACAGGCAGCTGTTGATACGCTGGAGCTAGGTCAAGCTTTGCAAAAACGCGCCCCCCCCTTGAGGGAGGCCAGAATATGACTGACCACAGGAACAGGATAGGCATGTTGCTGCAATGCCTTATTCAGAGGGCATTTGTAGTCAGCACAAATGCGAATGTCCCCATTTGCCTTTAGAGGCGTGACAATGGGGGTCTCCCAAGGACTGGAATCAACAGGTTCTAGGATTCCCTGTTGAATCAGTTTGTCTAACTCAGTGTCAATTTTACTCTTTAAAGCAAAAGGGACCCTTCTTGCTTTAATTCTAATGGGAGTGATAGTGGGGTCTAGCTTTAAGGACACAGGGGGTCCTTTGAATGTGCCCAGCTGGGGGCTGAAAACATCTGCAAATGCTTTGCAGACTTCCTGTAGGTCGAGTGTTTGTAAGCTGTTGAGTCCTGTGACGTGTATCCCCAGGGCCTCAAACCAATCGAGTCCTATGAGACTCGTTCGTTCACCCCTACTACTAATAAGTCTAGTGGACCTTCAAAATTCTTGTATTGCACGTTAAGGGTGGCCTCCCCCTTAACACACACTCTTGAATTTTGAAAATCTGTTAACACAATGTCAGAAGGCCTTAACTTGGCCTGAGTTCCACTACGGAACAAATCTTCCTAAATGTATGCAAGGAGATAATTGAAAAGGCAGACCCTGTGTCTAGTTCCATAGATAATGGAACCCCTTGTAGCTTCACCTTGAGTGACAGCTTTTTCTTAATGGGCTTGTGTGTGCCTGTCCTAAGGATGCTTCTTCGCGAAGCGCAAAACCCTACCCTATTCTGGCTGGGGAATCTGGTACCTTTCAGGCGCAGTTCTTCCTGAGGTTGTACCTTTCGTCGGCCCAGACACACAGCTGCAATGTGTCCTTGTTTGCCACATGCCCGGCAGGTAGCGGAGCAGAACTTGCAGTCGGTTCTCCTGTGGCGACCTCCACAGCCGATGCACTTGAGCGGAGCTGGAGAGCTTCCCTTCTGTTTTTCTTCCTTCGTGGGGTGGAGACGGTCGACTTCCTCGTCCGGATCCTCCTCGGAGTTTCTTTGGGCGTCTTCCTGGTGCACGGATGCAACCTCTGGACTGTTTCTGATCGGCCGCATGTTCTTGACAGCGCCGCCTGCTGCTTCTTCTGCGGTGACTTCCCTTAAGGCATCTTGGTAGGACAATTCTTCTTTAGCGAAAAGTCTCTGTTGTAGATCTCGATGCCTTAACCCGCACACGAATCGGTCCCTCAGTCGTTCTTCGAGGTCTTTGAACTCGCAGTGCTTGGTGGCCTTCCGTAATGCGGCGATGAATTCTTTGGCCGACTCACCGGGCCATTGATCTCTCTGCTCGAAGGTGTGGCGCCATGCGATGACGGACATCTTGGGGTGGAAGTGCTCCTTCAGTAGCTTCTTCAGATCTGCGTAGCTTACAGACTCTACTGGAACAGGTGCTGCAAGGTTTCCTGCAATGTCGAAGGCATCTTGGCCGCAAATACAAAGCAGGGTGGCAGCCTTCAAGCTCTCTTCCCTCACTTGGTTTGCCTTGAAGTAGTTCTCCACCCTGGCTACGTATGACTCCCACCGCTCTGGATGTGAGACGTCGAATTCCGAAAGCCTTCCGATTTTTGCCATCTTCAGGAGACGGGTCTATCAGCCAGCCTACCCCCGAATGCGCACTGGATTGGTGGGTAGCTGCCGAGTCGACGCCGTTCCGCCGCTCAGGACTCACTTGGGTAAGCTTACACTTCTTCCTTTCCAGGCGGTGTAAGGCAATCCCATCCTCGTCGCCAGTGTTGAGTCCGTGGCGGGAAGCAGACACGAGAAGCAGTTGAAGTTCTCAGTTTTCTTTATTCTGCGTTCAGCTTACAAGTAGATGGCTTCAGCAGCTCCCAAAACCTCCCAACTTCTTATATAGACATTTCCCGGGTAAATGCGATACTTTTCCCGCGCCAGCACCCGCGCATGCGCATGGCACTGGCGACAGCCTGTCTGGTCCCGGGCAGCTTTGCACCTGCCCGGGACTGCCTGCAAACGCCCGAGCCGTTTGCAAGGCTCGGGACATAACACTGGTAGAAATCCATTTTGATCTGGGTGGATGTAGTTATTCAAAAAATTTTTAATCCTTTCTGCTATTATTGTTGCAAATGTCTTATAATCTGTATTCAGTAAAGAAATCGGCCTATAATTTTGAATTTGTTGCAGATCTGAGTCTTCCTTAGGAATGAGGGTGATGATTGCTTCAATCCAAGTTGTCGGTATCTTCGTCTCCTCCAGCACCTCATTATACATCTCCAACATTATCCGTTGTAGTGACTCTTGTGTATTTTTATAAAACTCAACTGGAATTCCATCTGGGCCTGGTGATTTATTGTTTGTTTGTTTTTTTCAATGCTGTTTCTAGCTCTATTGTGGCTATTGGTCTATTCAACATTTCCTTTTGTTCTTCGGTGATTTTTCTCATTTTTGCTGCCTCTATATATTGTTTGACTTTATCATCTGCTATATCTTTCTGATGGTATAGCTTTGAAAAGAGGTTTTGTATTATATTCTTTTTTTATTCCCGTCTATATTGTACTGTTCCACTTCCATCTTGTAATTGATGTATTGTTCTTTTGCTTTTTTCTTTTTTTAATTTATAGGCCAAACATTGACCAGTTTTATTCGCATTTTCAAAATAATTTTGTTTCGCCATCCTAATTTTCTGTGCCATTTCTTTTTGTGTTGTCAGGTTAATATTGTGTTTTATAATATTCCATTTTTCTTTTATCTTTTTGTTTTGTGGATCCTTCTGTAGGTCACCTTCTATTTTTTTAAGTTCTTCTTGTAATTTTCCTTGTTGAAGTCTCCTATCTTTATTTATCTTAGAATTGTATGCAATTGTCAATCCCCGAATGTAAGCTTTTGTAGTATCCCACAAATTTTGTGTTGATGTCTCTTCCTTTTTATTTACCTGAAAAAATAATGTCAACTCCTTTTCTAGCATCTGTATATATTGTTTATCTTTACACAGTCTTTGATTCATTGACCATCTTTTTCTCTGTTTCTGGCCTTTCCATTTTATTATTATTGGGTTATGATCCGCCCAATCAATTTCCTCTATCCTGTTTTGTATTTCTGTTGTTGCCCAGGCCATATCGATCTTAGACCAAGATTGATGTGGATACGAATAAAACATATATTGTTTGTCTGACATGTGTGTCTCTCTCCATATATCCTGAAGGTTGAGTTCTGTTACCATATCAAAGAACGATTTTGGTAATATATTTTTCTTCTTTTTATTCTTTTTACTACTCTTATAATCTTTTTTAACATCAACTATTGCATTTAGATCCCCAATCATACAAATACTTTCATAATCCAGATCCACTAGCTTCTTATGTACCTTTTTAAAAAAATTCATGTTGATTATTATTTGGTGCCTATACTGCCGTTAATAAGATTAGTTTTTGCTCTAATTCTATTTCCAACATTAAAATTCTCCCCTCTTCATCCGAATATATTAATTTTGATTTTATTTTTTCTTTGACATATATAGCAATTCCTCCTTTCTTGTTGTGTATATTGTTCCTAATTTTACATTCTCTAGTAGTTTTCTATAATCCTTTTTTATATGAACTTCCTGAAGACATATCACATCTGCATCCAATTTCCTTAATTTGTTAAACATTTGTGCTCTTTTTCTTGGTATATTTAAACCATTAATGTTTACAGAGAAGAGCTTAATTGTGTTTCCCATTTTTTACTTGGTCTATTTTTTTTATGCTTCTTGTCTCTATTACCCTTCCTTTTGCTCCTTCTCTTTCTAACTTTTCTCTTTCTTGTATCTTTTGTATTTCTCTTTCTCGTTCAACTTCCTCTAATAAATCTTTGTCCTGACTTTTACTCTCTGATTCTTCCCTACTTTCTTGTTCTTCTCCCTGCGTAAAGTAACATTCATAAAAGTCCCGCGCTTTCTTGAGTGTATCTATCTTATATTTTTTTTCCTGCCATGTTAGAAATATACCTTCAGGTATTAACCATTGAAACATAATTTATATTTAATTAATTGAGTTGTTAAAAATTGGTATTCTCATCTCTGATTTCGTATTCTATGTGGTATTTGTTTTAATACAATTATTTCTTTACCCTTATATATTATTGGTTCATCTCTTGTTTTTGTATATATTTCATCCCTTATTGATCTTCTAGTAAACCTTATATGCACCTCTCTCACCAATCTATGCCTTCGTGCATAATTTGTATATACTCTATATATTTCGTCTATGTCTCTTCTTGTTTCCTGTTTGTCCTTTCCTAATATCTCTGCCAATATCTCCGCCATCTTCTCTCACAAATCTTCTTCCTTTTCCTCTACAATATTTTGGAATCTTAGAAAGAACAAAGCTTTTTGCATTTCCAAGAAGGCAATAGAATCAATCAACTCCCTATTTACTTGCTCGGATTTCTGTTCCATCCTTTCTATTTTGCTATCAGCTTGCTCCATTTTTGTTTCAACTTTTTGAATTCTTTGTTCATTTTCCATCATTGTTTGTTGTATACTCCCTATCTTATCATTCATGTTTTTACTTTTGTCTCTCATTTCTCCAATATCATTCTTGATTTCTTTGTGATGTATTTTCATTTCTTCATGATTATTTGCTATTTCCTCCTGGGTCATCATCATTATTTCTTGAATCGTTTGTAGTGTTATCTGCATGCCCTGAGGGTTCATTGCCAATTCTGCTTTTTCTTTTTCTTTCCCCAACATGGTCACTATCATTCTTTGATCTGTAGGAGAGGCCATTATAGGTGTGGGATTTGTAGCTGTTTTTTTGCCTACTTTAGTTGTTGTTTTTATTACTTAAATAATATTTTTCCATATTCACATATACCAATTTATTGCAAGTTGTTTTTGTTGATCAAGATGGTTTTCAATCTATATAGTCTAAGCTTAAATATGTATGTGTGTGTGTATATATATATATATATATATATATATATATATATATAATATAGTAAAAAGTATATATATATATAATATTTCTAATTATGTATCAATATATATGACTATATATATATGACTATAATACCTTTATAGAACATTATTCTTAGGGTTAACGGTAAAAATAAGATTACAAATAGAATTATACCTTTCCTTATCCCACTATTATATAGTATAATTTATAATATGCTTAACAGCTCTTATATATATATATTTCTATAACACTACACACAATACATATACATATACTATTCTCTAAGTATTATCACCACTCTTAATTTCATTCACTATCACTCTTATTTGAATAATACTCAATTATGCTTATTTCTATTCGTTAATACAATTCATTTGCTTCATTCCTTTTAATACATTGCCTGATATCCCTTTTCTGCTTGTAGCTTAATTACTGCTTGTATACGAGTGCTACAATATTGCATCAGCCTTTTTCTCTCTGTCTCAATTTGATGTATCTACAGATCCACCAAGTGTCACCTCTTATTTTTTCTTCTATGAATCCAATATTTCCAAAAATTAAGAGAACCGAAATTGAAATTAAGCATTTAGAAAGCAGAATTCAGATGCATATTTATGGGATCGAAGATATTTGATTTGACACTAATATCTCAAAAAACAAACAAAAAACAGCTTAGAATAGTTGTTGATTGAAAACTATGACATCGCACTGTGATTATATTAAAAAAGGGCAAATGTAATTTCCTTTGCACCAGAAGAAATATAAATTCCAAATCTCAGGAGGAGATGTTCCATCCTTTAAGAATTCACAGAAACTGTTGTAGTTTCAGAGAATGGCAAGTAAGTTCTCTGAAGGCAGAATGAAGAATCTTAATGCGTGTAGCTTTATGAAAAACAAAGAACGGAAGGAAGAATATAGTAGCATTCATTAAGAAGCCCACAGAGAATGCTAACATCTGTTTTCTTCTCAGACTGTGGGACATCTAAACAGTGAGGCAGACTCTGTTTGAATGTTCTGAAAAATTTACTAACACCAAGCAGCAGTTCAACAATGGATCTAATCAGTGGAAGAGCTAGAGGACTCCCCTTCATCTAAAGGAGTTGTCTTAACTTTAACCTCTGCACAGGGTAGAAGATTGGAGTTCAATGGCTCCCTCCAACTCCATAATTCTAAAGGAAGCTAAACAATCTGGCCTTTCTTTTATCATAAACTGCTATTCTGAAGTGGCCCAAGATGAAACTTAAAAAAATTCAGGATCTCATTCCAGGAGTGCTCCTGGGCTTTAGCATGAGGCTTCACTTCCCCTCCCCATTGGATCGGCAAGGGAAAAAACTGAATTGGGTAGGCAAAGCAAACTGGAGATCCAGGGGGTTCTATCAGATGTCCAGCCCCTGGATAAAACAACAGACTACAATGATTTTTCCCATGTTTCTTCGCTCGAGCCAGGGCTGCTTCAGCAAACACCCTGCTATTGAAGCTTTGGTCAGCTTCCCCCACCACAAAGAGGATGTGCCCTTGGGCCTTCTCCACAGGAATGGTAGACACTTCATATTTTTCATCCAGAGGATGTCCCAAGCAATAGTAAACGGATGCCAATCCCATTTCATTAATGCGAATCTTTTCACCTGGGTAGGAAGCTCCAGGGATACTGACATCATGAAAGTGAAGTGGTGTACTCAATATTGTTGGACCACTGATGCACACTGAAGCCACTACTTCCTTTAAGAAGGTACTCATGGCCAATGCAATTTCTGCTCCTTTGGATAAACCAATAATTCCAAGTCCTGGACCTCTTACCTGGAGGAGCAAATACAGAGAGACATACAAAAGTTTCAATCAGTTTCTTCCTTAAAGCAATGAGGGGTGATATCAAAGTTATAAAAAATGACATACTAATGCACATGCTATATTATTGCAGATCTACACATTCAAAAATGAACTTTGTCACCTTCTCTTTCTGCCAGCCAGCCAATACAAGACAAGAGATGTGATAGACAGAAGGAAGGAAGGAAGGAAGCCTGAAAAAAATGTTGCTGCTTTTATTAAAGCAGTGCACTTTTAAGCATGACTCTTAATTGCATATTTTTGCATGTTTTTCAGCTACACATAAAGAAGCCTAAGGAAAAAAATTGTATGCTTTAATGAAAACTGAGAGGGTGGATATACTGTAATGGGTGTGTCCACAAAATGACAAAAGAGCATTGCAGCATTGAGGGGTCAGCAATGTATCACAATGCACATACAAAAGGTGGCAATGCACCGCTGCTCTCATCCTTCTGCCCTCAGGAAGGATGCTACTGATCTATGCTGTGCTGTGCTTTGTCAGGCCCAAAATCCCTTTAGCTTGCATATCTGGCAGGTGCATAGCATGCTAGTTTGTATGAAGTATTCTGCATAACAAATAGAGAATAAACTCTAGGATCTTCCTAAGAGTCAACAAGAAGTTTAAGAAAAGATATAATCTCATGCACACCTTAGGATTTTTCAAGAGCAGTCTGCATGCTTCCTCAAAATACTCCAGATCTATTACTTCCAGAGTCTGTGGTAAATCATCATATGCAAAGAAAGCCAAAGCCAGAACTGCAAAGCCTTTACTAGCCAATAAGCCAGCTCGAAATTCGATTAGTCCTCCAGCTCCACCAAATAGGTCAATCAGTCCTGGAAATGGCCCAGAACCTGGTGAGGCAGAGAGGGAGAAAAAACAAGGATAAGTGAAGAAATAAAAAACAAAGAGTAATATCCCTTTTGTCAAATACATTACTTTCTCTGATTTGGGAACAATGCTTTTAATGATGCCTAGAACTGCATTTGCTTTTTTTTTTTTTTTGTAGTGATGTCATGCTGAGCCAAATTTAATTTTCACTCAGCTACTCTTGCAAAATCTTTTTCATAGGTACTGTTAGCAAGCTATGCATCTCACATCTTATTTCTGAGATGCATGAAGGACTTTTCGTTGTCTCCATTTATTTCTGTCCTTTTGTTCCATTTCTCTAAGCTATTACATCCATGTTCAATTTTATCTGTATCTTCTAGGCTAGGCATCCGCTATTTCAGCTAATTTTGGGTCATCTGCAGATCTGAAGAGCATTCCCTCTACCCCATCATCAAAGACATTAATAAAAAAGTTTGCATTGTGTCAGACCCAGGCTGAAGTTTTCAGCACTGAATTCAGTATCTCACTTTAGTTTCACAAAGAATCATGATTAAATGAGCATCTGAATATGATTTTCGGATCACTATATATCCTAACTCAGAGATCCCCAACCTTTTGGGCACCAGGGACCAGTTCCGTGGAGAGAGGTTTTTCCACAGACCGGAGGCTGCGTGGTTTTGTGTGCTGCCTGCATCCCACAGATGGGGCTTTGCTTGTTTGTGCAGACTGGTTGCTGGCATGACGTGGCCCGGTACTTGTCCACGGACCAGAGGTTGGAGACCCCCGTCCTAACTCAACCACAATCATCCAACCTGCTGTCATAGATACTTTGTCAAATGCATTGATGAAATCTTTTTTTAATATACATTTTATTGGTTTTTTTAATTTTAACATCGAAGTGCTCAGGAAAACACTGTGGTGAAAGGGTAATCAATCATAACAAAACAAGTCATATATATATATATATACAAACTAAATATATATATTGTATATATATATATACAAACTAAAATTAATACCTTAAAAAAATAATAATTCCCCCCTCTATTTCCTCACATGATATAACAAATTTAGTTTAATCTATTTCTTCTTAAAATTCAATCAATCCACAGAATCATCTCTATATTACATCTACATAAATCACTCCTGCTTTTAAGCTCCACTAATTTTCAATTAAAATATTCCAATTGATCTTAAACAAACATATTAATAAAATTTTGGGTATCCCTTCTACAACACACATAATATTCCAAGAATAACATTTTAATATTTTCACATATATTCCATGTCTTAATTTAATATATCATTAATTAATACTCTTTCTTCTCTTATCATAGATCTCTCTAATTCTTCTGCTATTACAAAATAGTTTTCTATATAAACAGAGTAAAAAAACAAAAAAAGAATCATTTTGACCTGTTAAATAAAATTTAACTCTCAACCAAATTAACTATCGTATCTAAGACAAACATATTATTACACCAATTATTATATTACTGCTTTCATTTAGTCAATTAGATTATCCAATCAGTCCAAATTTCTAGAGTCTTTTTGACCCAATAATTAAAATTTTAAATCACATTTTTAAATCTAACTCTGGCTTTTTTTCTACACCAAGCTGGTTTCCGTAATGCCGCTTCTAGGTTATCAGATCTCAGTATTTGAGTACTAATGTTTATCAAAAAATCGATCTGATCAAAATTCTCTTCCCCTTCTTCCAGTATCATATATGCAATATAGTCCATTTTATTCCATATTATAATTTCAGCTTGCTTATCCAGGTTGTCATAACTTTCAATCGATCGCGTCTGGCTGTCAATTCCTGTTAATTTTGGCAATGGGAGAACTTTACTTATAGTCATCTTTTGATCTTCAAAGTTCTCCATTTGTACATAGACTTGTGAAATATCCTCTTCTATAGTAGTTAGTTGATTTATAGAGCAGTTATTTAAGGTCTCAATCTGGGATTTTGGGTCCAGAATTTTTCTAAAGTTCAATTGATCAGTGAGTTCTTCCATCTCAAATTGTGTACACTGTTGCATATAAGCTTCTTCTTGGCCTGTAGATTGGTCTTTTAAAATTTGGTGCTCAGCTTGTGATTCTAGAAGATGGTCTTTAGTTTTTCTCCATGACTTCATCTCCTCTGTCATTTTCAATATTTTTTCCAATATCAGCTCATAATCCAGTCCAGAATTCAACTGATCAGTAACTTCTTCTTCCATCTCAGATTGTGTATACTGTTGCATATAGGCTTCTTCTTGGCCTATAGGTTGATCTTTTAATGTTTGAGGCTCAGCTTGTGGTTCTGCAAAATAACCTTTAGTTTTTCTCCATAACTTCATCTCCTCTGTCATTTCCAATATTTTTTCCAATATCAACTCATAGTCAAGCTGTGGGTAAAAGTTTCCTATTTCGATAGTAAAAGAGTCTTTTAAAGTTTTTATGGAAACTATATTTATTAAGAGTCCATATACATCCGCCTCCACAATTTTTAAATCACAAACACAACCCACAGCTGTTTCCAAGCCTTTATCTTTTCTTCCTATTAATTCCTGAAGTAGTGTTCTCCAAACACTATTTTCACCACAAAATGTCCTCAGTAAGCTATAGAAAGCTTTTTCTTTCCATGTTAAAAGCCTTTATCTCATTAAGAATGACAATAAAAGAGACAGGAAAAAAAGCAAATATCTTCAGTATAGTAAGTAAAATAATGTTCTAAATTAGGAATTTTCCAGGGATGCCCAATATCCAAAAGGTTCAAAACATAATAAGTGCTATTCTATAGTTTTGTTTAAAGTATTATTATTATTTTTTCCCCAAACAGACAGAAGCTGCTTTCTTAAAACAGGGAACTCATTCAAAAAGCAAGCTCTTTGCAAGAAAAATAGTTCAGAATGGAGAGAGGGAGGAAAGGTCTCACCCAGATTCACCACAGTGGTTCTTTGTGCTTAGATGATTTTCTGACTTCAGCTAGCACAGCGAAGTGGTCAGCCATTTTACTGACCGATCTTCTTCTCCATCAGCCCTACGTAGTTAGCTCAGACTGTAGGGGAGCCGCCGCTCCACCGCAGCAGAGCAAAAGCCTCCTTGACAGTGGTCGCCCCTCCAGGGCGATTTAAGACCAACATAACGGTCTACCGGTAGAGAGAAAACAGCTAATAAAGAGCGATAGCTCTTTGCATGGCTGAAAGTGCTGTGATCCGGAAGTGGAAGTCGCATTGATGAAATCTTGATTATATAGTGTTGTATCTATAGCATTTCCGTAATCAATGAAAGAAGTTAATAGAAAGTAAAGATTAGTCTGATCCATGCTAACTTACAGTGGTGAGTAGTAACAGACTCTCATAACTGGGGCGGTCCACGAATACTGTGAATTAGTACCACTGCAAATAAGTAAGCTTCAAGTATTTCTTGTCATTTGCTATATCACATTCCCTAAGATATTCCAAAGATAATGATTTGACCAGATCATCAGCAAGTTCTTTCAGTGCTCTAGGAATCACCTAGGCCAAAAGATTTGGTTTAAAGATTCCTTTAAAGCCAATAAGTGTTTCCTGACTATGTTTCTGTCCCATGGAGTGCTTATCTGCTTCTCAGGAAAGACTGGTCCAAAGAATGAGATGTCTAATTCTCATAGTTCATTTACAAATTATTGTTTTTTCTTTGGACATAATGATGACAAGTAGCCTTTTCTTGTTCTTAGCATCATTCCCTAACTTCAGCTGATTCTCAGCTTTAGCTTTCCCAACCACAGCTGTGCAAATCTGGGTGATCCATTTGTTCCCTTCCTTGTGACATGATATGCCTTTCTACTTTTTATATGCAACTTTTTCAAAAAGTGTTCACATCTTTACTAAGAATTGTGCATGGGCACATGGTCTCTTTTATCAGTACTATGATCCAACTTGGATAAAAGAAAACAGTTTGTGCTCATATTCAGTAGTGGTCAAAATTGTGGAAACCTTTTGGGAAAAGTGTGCAGAAGAAATGCCACCTTTGGTTAAGTTTCCACCAATTTTTCTTTTAATTTCTTTATAACTGTAGCCTTGTTCACTTAATAATACTATTTTACATCCCTTTTTGGGTAACCAGCCAACTCTTTGCACCATTACTTTAATTTTATTACGTTTTACAAGCTCACTAAATGAAAGAGAAAAAAAAAAACCCAACCAACTTGATAGCGATCACATAACACACTGACAAATGTCCTCCTCTCAGCTTCAATACATGACATCAATACCTGAATCCTACTGTAATCTGATTGGCTCATTGCCAAAACAAGATGACACCTGATTGTCTCTCTAAACACTCATGCTCATTGGCTACAATCAGATGAAGGAAAGCTACCTGATATCAACCTAAGCAAGTTGTGCTTCCTTTTTCTGGTTATTTGGCTATAATGTTTCATAGAATAGAGTATAGATAATTGAACAACTTTGTTGCATTACATTCTTGATTTAATTATCTTTCCATTGATATATAATTTTATGGTACTACTAAAAAAAAGTGGTGTTATTAGCCATCAAACCTCAAAAATAGATTTTTCCCAAAAGGTTTCCACAATTGTGGCCACTACTGTACACAGAACAGCCAATCTCTGTCCAAAGCAGAGACGCAGATGTGGAGAAGGAGATCAGATCTTTCAATCTAGCAATAGCAGATGGATACTTCAGGAATTTTAATATTAGAAATCAGTGTGGGAACTGCTAGGGGTACCAAAAAACAAGAAATTTGGGAAGATATGGCATTTATCAATAAAATATAGATCCAGACAAACTTGTGAAAATGGTTTCCTGGTCTGGCTGATCTCAAAGGGCTAACAAATTCTGAGATTGCTCATTTGTGCTCATCAAAGCACAAATCAATACTGCTTCCATGCTGGCTAGGCAGTCTAGGCACTAACACCCTAAATACATTTGGAGGCACCATCCGTTGCATGCAAGAGGTTGAGGCAATAAAGGGAAGTGGAAAAGAAAACAGAATTCAGTTTCCTTACCTGGAGGCAAGAAGAGGGCTCCCCGGACCCGGCCAGACTTAATTGGGATGCGTTCCACTCCGGGGGCTGCGTACCATCGTTCCACAGTGGAAGTAGCCAGTGGTTCATGCGTGGGCAAGGGCACAATCACAGTAGAATTAAAGAGACTAATCTGAACATAGAAGGGGCTGCCTGTCACATCACGTTTGAGCAGCCTGTGGAACATCTTCTCAGCCTTTAGAGTGTAGAAGAGGCCCATGGACCACACACCTGTATAGTTGCCTCCCAGAGCAGAGGCCTCTGCCACATCTACTTCTCCATTCTGATTGGCTTGGTAAAAGGCTCTGGCTGTATACTTCACTCCCCTTTCATCTGTCAGTGATGCATGTAGGGTCACAAGCTGGGCAGGCGCCAGACCAGAGGCATAAATCTTCACTGGCGAGTCAGCAAGGGAGACTTCAGGAGTGACACTGAGGTGGACCATAGCTGCCAGTACCTGGGGAAAGTCAGGCTCCTAATCATATAAATTTGGGACTTCTTCAGTCTCCTTATCTCTCCCCTCTCAAACCATGCTGGTCCTCAATCTGTGGTCAAGGTGTCATCTACACTGCTCTGCCAGTCCTATGTTGCAATGCTGAAGTATTTCAGAGGTGCCTGTTTCATTAACTTGTTCAGACACTTCTTAATCCGAGAACCCAACACTAGAACCAATTGGAGATTTCATAAATGCTCCTATGTTTTGGGGAGGGGGTGACATCAATTGAAATGCATCTCATTTAACCAACTGTGGATATCTTTTGTGAACGCACATCTACAATTTCTTACTTTGAAATTATTGGCATCAACTGGTTTATGCCGCAGATCAGTTTGCAAGATTATTAAAATGTTGTTAAAACCACAGGCAGGAAAAGGAACAATAAGCAGCTTTGGATACACACCTGTGTGAGATCCTCTTTCCATAGACAGCTAAACAAACTTTCCTTTAAGCTAACTCCCTCTCGTGGAGCAGAAGAGGGGAGGACAAGGCAAAGCTTGTCAGGATTTTACATGCCCCCCCCCCACCTTCCAGCTGCTCCTCCTCAAAGTGAGCCTCTGGATTTGCCTGATTACAGAACCAGAACCAGCTTCACACAGCCAAAAGAATTAAGCTTCCATCAGGAAACTATATTCTCAGTAAAAAATCTGTACTGTCTAAAAACGGTCCATCTAGCCCAGACATGTCAAACACAAGGCCCGGGGGCCGGATGTGGCCCGTGAAATGGTTTCATGTTGCCTGCGAAGCCATCCTGGAAACAGTGAGAGAACAGCCTCCTCTGCCTTGGCCCTGGCCCAGGCCCGCCGGGAGCCAATGTACAATTTTGTAGTGGCCATCTATGCTGAAACGCATTCAGTCTTAGCTCCATAAGACCCTCCCCCACATGCCCTGAGAGGAACAGTGAGGCTCCTCCAGTGGACCATACCTTGGCACTCGCCCTGGTCCCACCCCCTTCTGCCAGAGACCCTCAGATCTGTCCCATTCCTGCCCAGGCCCCCACAGGCACCCTTGATGCGAATGATGTAGACCTGGCCATGCCCACCCAGTAGGCCACACCCATTCAATCCACGCCCACCCAGTAGGCCGCACCCACCCTGGCCACATCCACACGGCCCGGAGGGCAACTGCAATGCTGATGTGGCCCTCAATGAAATTGAGTTTGACACCCCTGATCTAGCCAAACTAACAAAATTCACAGTCACATACAATAAATGGTATTGATGAAAAAAGTTTCAAACATTCCATAAAAACAACATTCCGAAACACATTTCAGGCAAACTCCTGTATTTCCCAAAATTAGCACAGAATGACCCATTTCCCCATCCGCCAAACCAAACAATTTAAGAGTAGATCACAGAAATGGTGTCACCTCCGTCCGTCGTTGTCCAATGAAACAAAGTCCAGGTACAAGGTGGTTAGCAAGGTTTATTCCCAGCAAACGAAGTCAGCACTGTGAGTGGTTTGCTCCCAGTGCTTTACATAGTCGTGCCCCATCCTACAGCCCCACCCCCCCCGGCAGCAAGCCAGCATCCGCCCAGAGCGTGTAAAACCCCCAGGTCCCTTTCCGGCCTTTCCTTGGCCCGACCATGCTTTGCTGGCCCTCCGTCCAGCAGCTACAACCAAGTCCTACCGCCGGTTCACCAGGCTCTCCATGCTGTCCATGCCCTTGGCTGTCCCCTCTGGCCTCCCATAGGTCTGCCAGGATGTCAGCCGCCTCCTCTCACCTCCTGGAGCCCTCCATGTCCTCCGGAGGCTTTCTGCAGAGGCCAGAGGCTTTCCTGATGCCCAGCCACTGTGGCTGACATCAGGCCTTCCTCCCAGCTGCCGGCGGACCTCCGCGGCTGGCTAGAGGCAGGTGACGTGCTGCAGGTATCACCGGGGAAGGGTGGAAGGCTGTCCCTGCCTTCCACCTGACCCATTCGGCAGCTGGCTCGGCTCCGGACTGTGGGCGGCATCTGGCTGTTCAGCTGGCTGCTCCAGTCCTGGCTGGCTGCTCTGGTTCACTCCCCCCCCACCGGTGAATGGCAAGCCCTGTGGGGCTAGACAAATAGGACATAAAAACCTTCTTTGGAAAAGTGTATATTTTGGAAATTATTTGGAATAATATCCCATTCAGCTAAAACAAACACTTTTTAGATAAGAATAAGCAGAGCTTTTTTTGTAAAAAAAAAAAAAAAGTGTCGTAACTCACACGCGTTATATAACCCGCCTTGCCTACCCTACAAGGTTTACCTTTGTAGTTGGAAAAAAAACCCTTCAATTTTTAGTGTATCTAAAACACTAGGATTTTGTTCAAGGTAAGTTAATACTATTAATGTTACCATGCACTGTGTGGCTTTGAATTATAAGAAGGCATTTTATTAATCTTTTGGGACATTTACCACTGGCATACCCATTAAGTTTAATGAGTGGAAATGTCAGTTTTCCATGTGGAATGAAATTGGCCCAATAAAACAAAATTGCTTGTAAAAGATTGAATTATTTTTAAGAAGTCGCCCGACAAGGTGGAAAAATTTACATTTGGGGTTTAATATTGATATTGACTTGAAACAAATTAAAGTTGAAACTTTGTCAGTGAACAGATTACTTCAAATTTACCTTTAGGTTAATAATTTAATAAATAGATCTAATTAAACTTCATACTGTATGTAAGTCTACTTTTACATCTGACCAATACGTAATTAATATGTATTATTAATAATAATAATATCTCCAAATCACAAGACTTTGGCTTTATTCTTATTCTTCCCCTCTGCAGTTTGAATATAAAGTATAAAAAACTAAAAAGAGATTTTCGTAGACTTTGAACTACCCAAGGAACCGAAACAGCAGTTTCACTGTCAGGCAAGCTTCCATGCCAGCCACCTTTCTTTCCTCTCACTTCGCCTCTTTTTAACCTCACACCCCACCTTCGGTAAGGGAAGGCAAAAGGCTCACTCACCCTCTCGTGAAAGATGGTCTCCATGCTTATGTGTCTCCCACTGCCACCATTGGCTTCCACACCACATGGTCCGACCAGTGGTGGGATTCAAATATGTGAACAACCGGTTCTTTGCATGGATGCTGCTTCCGGAAGTCCATTCTGGGCCTGACCAACAAAAAATTAGCTACTGGTTCTGCTGAAGTGTTGCGAACCAGCTGAATCCCACCACTGGGTCTGACCCAGGCAATCAAACCACGCTCTGACTGTGGTGCTCCGGCGCCTCATGGTTCCTCCTAGAGAAGGCAGAAAATGCCAGAGGGGATCCCGCTTGCACAGTACTGCCAGTGGGGCACTTTAAAAAAAAAAAAATGAGGATAGGAAGGGAAACAATAGGAAAAGAACGCAACTCTGGAAAATCTGTCGAAAAAAGATGCTGGAACTCTGTTCTGGTGCATTCTATGACAAAAAAAAAAAGCCTTGAGAATAAATGATCTTCTTGTACTTTCACCCAAAATGTTCAAGGGTACCATGGTTTTGTTATCTATGTTAGATATTCAAGATAACATTATTTGTTTTTCTGATATATGAAAGTTTGCTTATGATGCACAAACAGGACATGTTGTTCCAGAATGTTTTCGATCATATTGATTCAAGTACTGTGCTCCTAATGACTCTTGACTTTGGGCAATGATGAAATCATCCTTTTGCTTTGATCCTGTGTGAGAAGCAAATTTCAAGCTAACAGGATCTGTCCCGTCTATTTTTCTGTGATTGGTAGTTTTGGTTTGTTTGGTTGATTAGGAAGCTGGCATTTTGTGTAGTTTTCTAAACAAAATTTTACTTGGAATAGAGTTAGGGATAATTGGATAATTTCTATCTTAAGATCTACTTCAGGGTTTTTTTTTCCAAGTTGGCAATATTTCATGAGTTGGCTGAGATAATGGTATTCCTATCAAAATTCTAGTTCTTTTAGTCCTAATATTAGGGGAGCTTAAGTGACTGTGAGATACAGTTCCTTTGTTTCCAACATTTTAAAGAGTGAGGTGATTAATGAAGGTCAATTTTGTTCCCATTTATTTTCAATGTATTCCAGAGCATCAGTCTATTTCCGCCTATTTTGCTTTTATGCTTGCTTCCATATCATCTCTTTCTGCTTCATTTAAAGTTTAGAGCCATAAACAAGCAGGTTAACAGGAGGACAAATGGGTTCTGGATTATCAATTCTCCCCAGAAAAAAATAGCTTCTCAAAAAATCATTTGTAATAAGAAATTGCAGGTCATACCTGGAAAAGCTTAAATCCATCTCTGCAGTTAATGTTGTAAAACTGAGAATCTATTCCCATTTGGTAATATTTGTGAGATGGTTTCATGTGGCCCGCGAAGCCATCCTGGAAACAGTGAGGGAATGGCTCCCTCTGCCTTGGCCCTGGCCCAGGCCCTCCGGGAGCCAATGTACAATTTTGTGGTGGCCATCTATGCTGAAACACATTCAGTCTTAGCTCCATAAGCCCCCCCCCGCATGGCCTGAGAGGAACAGTGAGGCTCCTCCAGTGGATCATGCCTTGGCATTCGCCCTGGTCCCACCCCCTTTTGCCAGAGACCCTCAGATCTGTCCCACTCCTGCCCAGGCCCCCACAGGCACCCTTGAGGTGAATGATGTAGAGCTGGCCATGCCCACCCAGTAGGCCACACCCACTCCATCCACACCCACCCAGTAGGCTGCACCCACCCTGGCCACACCCACCCAGCCCCCTGAGGGCAACCGCAATGCTGATTCAGCCCTCAATGAAATTGAGTTTGACACCCCTGGACTAGACATTTGAGTATTGTGAGAACATGTTATCCATATCATATTCTTCATTTTTTTTTATCCTGCACTTCCTTGTCAGCTATTCTCCATCAAGGAAGCAAAATATTTATTTGGTTATAACCATTGCTATATAAAGTTGGACATATGAACCTATTTCTATTCATTTAAAAAACCACATCTAATTGTGGTTGCTTATTTGAATCCATGTACATTGAGGTCTTTAACATATATAAATCATAATGTATAAAATGTGATGTTCCTTCTGGCTTTGCCTATGAGATATGCAGAATTTTCCCTGCAAGTTCTTAAATCAGAATACTAAAATAATTACTTTCAGGATTGTTCCTTTTACAGGTGGTCCCTGACCATCCAACCATTCATTTAGTGACTATTCAAAGTTACAACAGCACTGCAAAAAATGGCATATTTTTCACACAATCCATTGCAGCAGCATCCCCATAGTCATGTGATCAAAATTCAGAAACTTGGAAGCTGGCATGTATTTATGACAATTGCGCTGTCCTGGCATCATGGGATCACCTTTTAAAACCTTCTGACAAGCAAAATCAATGGGGAAGCCAGATTCACTTAACAACTGTGTTACTAACTTAACAACTGCAGTGATTCACTTTGTGGCAAGACAAAACTCACTTAACTGTCTTGCTTAGCGATGGAAATTTTGGATTCAGTTGTAGTTGTAAATCAAGGACTACCTGTATTGTAGAACATTATTCACCATAAAGTTATATCTATTTGTGACAATGTTATCTACTGGGCTAACAATACACAAAAGTTTTAGATAAACAAGGTGAAGGTGATTGCTTTGTGTATCTGAAGTTGTTACACAAAGATTAGACTATTGACTGAGACTGTCCATGCTACATATGCATGAATTCATACATATATAGTGTTGAGTCCTCAGCTTAATGGCAATTAATCACAGAGCATCTCGTAGTGTCAAGAAGCCTTTATTGTTGTTTCTTCAGCTCTGTTACAGCTCTGTGGCATGCAGGACTCTCTGCCTCTCTTAAGAACGCTTCCCCGGACCAAATGGCAACATTTGGCGTGCTCCGCGTCTCACGCATGTGTGCGAAGCCGGCGCCAGCCAGTCTGGTCCCGGGCAGCTTGCAACTGCCCGGGACCGTTGCAACGTCCCGAGCCTGCCTTTGCAGGCTCAGGACACAACACCCCTTCCCCCCCGGCTAAGACTATATGAATAGTTACACGGGACCTCAACACCAGCGTGGTGTGCCAACCCTTGCTCCAAATGGTACGGCTATTGTTCTGGGCATTAATACCCAGTGTCTGTATTTCCTTTGCTCCCAACAGTAGACACCTTCTCACTGTTTCTGCTTTGCCAGCAGAGTTACAAAGTCCTCAAGGTACTTAGGAGATCTCTTGACTCTCTGTGACCTCCTTAGACCCTGAGAATCCCCAATTCCATTTTGCCCAGAGGATGACATGAATTTGCTCCCTCTTTCAGACCCTGGTGGTCCCCATGGACCATGCCCCGATGCCTGGTCTGCTTGCTTGCCCACCGGGCTCGCCAGACCAGGACTTTGTTCTCCCAATAATCTGGTTGACCTGCCTAGTTGCAGGCTCTCTGCCCCTCTATAAAACTGCCACTGTTAGGCAACTCTGTAGTGCCTCCCAGGCTCACACTGGACCTATGAAGGGGCTGCATTCCTTCGCTCCCCAGTCCCGTAACGGGACTGTCTGGGGCTTCAGTATTTCCCCAAAACTCAGTTGCCCCCCCCCCATCTGTGCCGGAGGTGTCAGAATTGGGATGTGCCTCTCCGGCCACCTCCTTGTGTGAATACCTCCTTCTGGAAACAGTAGCAGTACTGGGCCAACTGGACAGATTGTGTGCCAGCTCTCTTGCAATGTTTGAGTTATTAGGATGCTCCCGGTTATTCTCCCTGACTGGAGTGCTGAATGGTATTGGTGAATGATGAGTATGCCCCCTGGGTGACTCCCTGGCTGGAGTAGACACTGGTGCCTGTGTGCTTCCTAGTTCCCATGGATTCCTGTTTGGAACACTTGCGGAATCCTGGAATAGGCCATCTGTGGCCTCTCTGTTGGGGCCCGGCTGCTGCCAACACCCATCCCTTTGCCCATGGAGGTCCTCCTCCCCCCCTGGAAAAGGCCCAGGAGTTTCTGAGGGTGAGTCCAGTCTTGTACGCAGCTGTCGATATGCCGCCGAAGGACACGACCGTCATCCAACGAGACCTCGTACGACGAGGGACCGGTAACCTTGCATACTACAGCAGGAACCCACAAGTGACCTGGCCCGTAATTACGGGTCCATACCGGGGCACCCACTTGCAGATACCTCGGTGCCCTGGGTTGTGTAGGGAGGCAGTCTGTCCGGGTGCAACTGGTCAAATTTAGTAGTCAGTTTGCGCCCCCAGCGAAGTTCAGCTGGGCTTTTCCCAGTAGAAGTTGAAGGGGTGGTGCGATACGCAAGAAGAAAGTCTGCCAACCTGTGGTGCCAGTCTCCATAGGTCAGTTTCTTTAAAGCATCCTTGGTGATGCGGACCATCCGTTCAGCCATACCGTTGGTGGAAGGGTGGAATGGTGCAGAGGTGGCATGATGAATCATGTTGGCCTGTAAGAAAGCTTGGAATTCGGAAGAGGTGAATTGAGGGCCATTGTCAGACACCAACACATCCGAAAGCCTATGTGCAGCAAAAATCCCCCTCAGTACTTGAATGGTCTTGGCAGTGGTGGTTGAAGAGACAGGTACAACCTCAAGCCACTTTGAATAGCTATCAACCAGGACCAAGAAGAATTGACCCTGAAAGGGCCCAGCGTAATCGATGTGCACCCTAGACCAAGGTGACTGTGTTTCCTCCCATCTATGCACAGGAGCCTGGGGCATTTCTAGGCGTGAGTGCTGACAAAGGTGGCATGCGTGCACCTTAGCTTCAATTTCCTTGTCTAACCCAGGCCACCACAAATGGCTGCGCGCAAGCGCCTTCATTCTTACAATGCCAGGATGGCCCTCACGAAGGGAACCTAAGACTCTAGACCTCATTGAGGTAGGAATAACAACTCTGCTGCCCTATAGCAGGCAACCCTGAAAAGTGGATAACTCATGTTTCTTAAGCCAGAAACTCTGAAACTCAGTACCTGGACAACTCTCTGGCCATCCAGACATAACCCAGGATAAGACATGAGAGAGTGTGAGATCTGTGGCTGATTCAGCAGCCACATCCCTGGCATTTAAAGGTGACTCAGGCAGTGCCTGAATGGAAAGGATGTTGATGGCAGGGGCAGGATCAGCCTCCACTACTTGTAAAGGTAATCTACTGAGGCCATCAGCATGGCCCATTTTTTTGCCAGGTTTGTGAACTAAAGAAAAATCATAGGCTGACAGAAAGACTGACCATCTCAGCATCCTGGGGGAGATGATATGGGGGGTTTGTTTGTTTGTAGTAAACAACCCCAACAAAGGCTTGTGGTCAGTGTAGACCGTGAAATGTCTGCCATATAAAACATCATGGAATTTTTTAATGCCCGCAACAACAGCCAAGGCTTCCCTGTCTATCTGAGCATAATTTCGCTCAGCAGAAGACATGGTTCTGGAGTAATATACAACAGGAAGCTGAGTTCCATCAGGTTGTAGATGGCTAAGTACTGCTCCCACCCCATAAGGGGAGGCATCACAAGCGATGCACACAGGGAGAGTTTCATTAAAATGTGCAAGCACATTATTGGATGTGAGTAAGGCCTTAACCTCATTGAAGCTTGCTTCATGTGCTTGTGACCACTGCCACACTGCCTGTTTGTACAGAAGCCTATGAAGTGGTTCAGCTACATTAGCCTTGTTAGGAATGAATGCATTATAGAAATTCAAGAGGCCCAGAAAAGCTTGTAGTTCAGCTTTGGACTTAGGCCTAGGAGCTTGCATGATAGCTTTTAATTTGGACTCAGCAGGATGAATCCCATTGGCATCTATTTTGAATCCCAGAAAATCTGTAGAAGGCACCCCAATTTTACATTTGTCTTTTTTAAGCTTGAGGCCTGTTTTCCGGAACCGCAGCAGGACAGCCCTCAATTTCTCAGCTAAGTTTTGAGTGGAATCTCCAGCAATTAAGACATCATCAAAGTAGGGGCAAACCCCTGGTATACCCCTCAAAGTATTTTCCATTACGCTTTGGAAAATTCCAGGAGCCACATTTACTCCAAATTGTAGTCTTTTGACTTTGAATGCCCCCCCCTGTGTTACAATGGTTTGTGCTACAGCAGCAGCTTCATCAACAGGTAACTTTGCAAAAACACGCTTTTTTAGCTTTGCAAAAACATGCCCCCCCCCTTGAGGGAAGCCAGAATATGGCTGACTACAGGTACAGGATATGCATGTTGTTGCAATGCCTTATTTAGGGTGCATTTGTAATCTGCACAGATGCAAATGTCCCCATTAGCCTTAAGAGGCGTGACTATGGGAGTTTCCCAAGGACTGAAGTCAACAGGTTCTAAGACTCCTTGCTGAATCAATTTGTCCAATTCAGCATCAATTTTTCCTTTTAAAGCAAAAGG